TGAAGATTTTAAAGTTTTTTAAAGTAAAGCTATTTTTTAAAGAACTTTGATTCCGTAAAAGATTTAATATCCCAATGAAAAACTACATTTTATCCTCTTTTTGATATTTCTTCGGCAATAGTCTTGAATCATGTATGAACTCGAAGTAGTAAATCATTAGTCACATAGCTATCAGAAAATAAGCGAAAGATTTTATTCACATTCTGCTATAAATCAGAGTACGCGGAGAAGAGTACATGGAGAATTCGCATTCCATTATCCTATTAATTGAATAATGAAGATTTTAAAAATAAATTATAAGTTTTATATAGTTTAAACAAAGAAAGAATTTATATGAAGCAAAATCTTAATTGATTTTAGCGTATTAAATATTATTACTTCTTACTTAGTTCAAATAATTAAAAAACCAATAACTAAAATTTTGGTTGATTATAAATTCTTATAATTTTAAGAAAAATAATTTTTTGTCTAATATAAAATCTATTAAAAGCTGTTAAAAACGGAGAAAAAGGTCCGATGAGAACATAAAAAATAGTAGAAGAAATAACTTGACAAAAAATTGAAGCATACACTCTAATGCAAAAAGGCGACTATGCAATCAAGATTCACAATCAAGAACATCAAAATAAAGATATATGGGTTGAATACATGCATGCAAAATTCAAGTACTAATGTGTTAAAGCAAAATTCAACTACTAATACAAATATATGTGCAATATTCAACTACTAATATTAAATAAAAAATAAAAAATAAAAAAAACTTACTCAAGAAAAGAGAATCTGGAAGCCTTAATTTTGTAGTTGCTGCTTCAACAAGGCAAAGTTTCATAATGATGAAAAGGTGTAATTATAACTTCTTTTATAGAAGTACCTGTGTATATAATTGTTTAAAAATTTATTCAACAGACTCTAATAAAAGAAATTCAGAAAGAGCTCGTTTCCGCCTAATATATTTTATAAAAAATTAGTGTCAAACATTTATACCAAAACTTTCCTAGTATGTGTATGTGAAATGTGAATTCGTTAAAATTTTGTTTACTAAAAAGACTTTCAGAGTGTGAAAATTTTAATACTTCTAAATTTGAATATAGTTGAAAGTATCGAAAGTTTCATAGTGTATGTGAATTAGTGAAAATTTTATTAACTAAAAAGAACCGAAACCTTCCTATTGTGTGCGAATTAAATAAAATTTTATTAACTAAAAAAAGACCCTCCTAACGTTAAAAGGAAAATTTTAATAATACTCCTAAATATTAATGGAGTTGGACGGAAAATTTCCTATTATGTCGCGACCGATAATCTTTCCTACAATATGTGCTTGAAATTCTAGAACCAAAAAGAATTGATGGTCCATATTATAAATATTAAAGGAGTAATTAAATGACAATTTCTATATAGCAGGAAATTAATTAAGTGATTATTTCTAAAGAGCAGGGAATAGTTAAATGAGTATTCTTAAATATTAAGAAAATAGTAAAATGACTATTTTGTCAAGTGTGAACTCTATTTTAAAAGGATAAAAAAGGCGAACGACATTTCGCTAAGGGCCTTCATGCTTTTAATATAATATAGAGTAATATTAGCCAAATGTTATCAATATTAGTCACTTAGCTATTCGTAACCAAAAAAAGGTCAATTTTTACTTTCTTTTGAGTGGGTATTATTAGAATAGATTTGGTACATCTTAATGAGTTTGAATCTAAGTTTTGGGATGATTTGGCGGAGTTTTGAGGTGGTTTGAATTGAAAATTCAAGTAGAAGATGAAACATGAAAAAAAATGATGTGTATCACGTATGTATCATAATTGTATCAAATGTGTATCACATTTATGCATGTGTGTGTAATACATGTGTCGCAGAAGAATTTTTTTTAACTCGACTTTAACTACGAATTTTGATACCAAATCAGTCCAAATCACCTTCAATCCTCCTCAAAACTAAATATTGACTCACCTATATGTTTTCAATGAATTTCAATCATACCCATTGAAAAAGGTCCTTTTTTGCTTATATATATATATATATATATATATATATATATATATATATATATATAT